GCCACCAGGACCGGCTATGGGGGGTGGTGGGGTGGTGGCACAGGCCCGTTCCTCCAACCCCGCTTTTTGAAACCGGGGTGTGTGCGTGAGGGGGTGCGATTTGCTCCTCCAAAATCTCAAACATCTCCAATTTTGGCTTCTTCAGGGGGTTATGCCCTCCAACATCCCACACGGGGACGTGGCTTTGTGTGTGTGTGTATGTCCCCAAAAAAACCAGCACTGGGGAGCCATTTTTAGGACCGGGCCTGCGTCTCCCTGCCGACCCCCTCTCCGAGCACAGCGCGGCCGGGGGTGCAGCGAGGCAGAGAGCGGGGGGACACGGCGCGGGGACGGGGGGGACACACACACAGGGGACACGGGACCGCGCGCTACCTGACGGTGAGGTGCCGCACTTTGGAGGTGCCCTGGGTGGGGGATGAGGAGGTGCTTTTGTTCAGGTCCTCCAGCGACCGCTCCAGGACCTTGCCCTGGTCAGAGCCCGGGCTGCCGTTCTCGGCGCTCTCCATGTCGTACCTGGTGGCCCACAGGGACGTGGTGAGACGTGGCACCCCGACACGGGCAGCCACCCCCCCTGGGGTCCCCAGGGCTGGGGAGGTGGGCACGGAGCTGTTGGAGATGCTCAGCTGCACCCCATCCATGGAGCATCCTTAGCTCCATCACTCTGATGATGGGGGAGAGGACCCCCAGGGACCTCCTCGGAGCCCCAGGGGAGGCTGACCCCGGCTTTGGGGACGGAGCACCTCGGGGAAGGGGGACCCGGTGGGGACATACGTGACAGAGCACTGGGCGAAGGCGAGATACTCCAGCAGCACATCCAGCCCCTTGTTCTCCTCGTTGAGGAACTCCTGGACCCAGCTGGGGGGTGCAGGGGGTTAGTGGGCTCCACCAGCCCTCCTCATCCTCCCTTCTGCCCCCGACCCCCCAGCAGAGTCACCCCCAGGCCAGAGGTCCCCAGCGAGGGTGGGACACACTGGGGACACAAGGTGGCACCAGGAGCTGGCACCTCTCCACGGCAGGTGGGTGACATTGTGACCCCCAGTCCAGATGCATGGGGGACAAAGCCCAAGGGCTGCACTGCCACCGCTGCAGCCATGACAGGACAACCCAGCCCCAGGTGGTGGGACCACGGGCACCCATGGCTCAGCACCCACCACACCACGAGGGCCTGGGGCACCCAGGGGGGACCAGGGTGGCACCCACCTGGGAGACAAAATGGGGTCCTACAGCACCCATGGCACAGCCACCTGCTTCAGCACCTCCGTCCTCCCACCAGAGCCACCCCAGAGGGGCAGGATGAGGCCACCAGCCTCCACATCCCACTGTCACCCCCACAGCCAGAAGCCACCAGCATGCCAGTCCCTGTCCCAGTGACGCCGGGGACAGCAGCAGCAGCCGGGTAACAACGAGGACACCCCCAGGTCCCCCTTCCTTACCCAATGTAGTTGGTCCTCAAGGAAATCTCCAGCTCCCGGAGCACCTGCGTTGACTCCTGGACTCGCCTCTTGAACTGTGGGACGAGGAGAGCTGTTGGCACTGTCCCTGTGCCTGACCCGGGATGGGGACAAGGGGTGGAAGGAGCCCTCACCTTCCTGCTTACGCCACCCGTGTCCAAGTAGCTCTTCAGCTTCTGGATGTAGGCGGACGGTGGGTTTTTCACCTGGAAACGCTCCTACGAGCCCCGAAGAGAGGCTGAAACCGGGCCATTCACCCGCAGCACGGGGACGTGCCACCGTCCCCGCGGCAGCCACCATGTCCCCATCCCCCCGCCCTGTGCTGCAGATGCTCGAGCGTCAATGTTTAATCAGGTTAATAAGGCGCTGTCTCGCTAACGGAGATGGACGCTGGCGCTCGGCACGTGCCACGTTAATGCCTATGCTGCGAGTGGCACCTGGGGACAGGGACGGCACCAGGGACGCCATGGTGCCTGCACTTCACCTGGTCACAGATGAGCTCCCACTTCTTCTCGTTGTCGTACTGGTTGAGCAGCTTCATCTTGTCTGGGGGCAGGTTCATGGAGTTCTGCGGGGTGATGGGTGTCAGTGCTGGGGGTCACCCCCAAAAGACCCCCCCAGGGCTGTGGCACCCACAGCTCGCCCAGCATCGGGTGTCCTCGCTCAGCGGTGGGATGATGGGGACACCAGGGGGAGGATGGTGACATCGGTGGGATGATGGGGACACCAATGGGAGGATAGGGACACCGGCGGAACAATGAGGACACCAGTGGGATGATGGGGACACTGGTGGAGGCTGGGGACACCAGCGTGAAGATGGGGACACCACCATTCCCAGGATGTTAGCACCCCACCAGCCATGGACCCACCAGCAACATCCCCACCTGGGGGTCCCCGAGGCGGAAGGCAGAGGGTGTTAGTGAAGGACAGGAGGAAAAACTGGACCTGTCCATCCATGTGATGAGTGCACAATGCTGCCGGCCTCAGCCAGCCCAGTCCCAGCAGAGCCACTTGGGGTGAGGGACGGGGACATGGGCTGGTGACACAACTGAGGAACCCAGGAGCCTGGGCCCTGCTCGAGGGTGAGGGTCACCTCCGAGTCCCCCGCCGCGGGTGCGTGACCAGCCCGGAGGGTGAAATCAGTGTTTCTTTAGAGACATGATGTCAGGGCAGGGTCTGGCGTGTCACCACATCCCTCCGTGCCACTGTTGCACAACATGGGCCCCACCACCCCCCCGGGGCCACCCCGGCAGGACGTGACGCGGTTTCCGCTCTCCGAACGGCACGAGGCGGCTGCCGAAACCGCTCCGCACCGCAGCCAGGGGCTCTGGGAGGCCCTGGGTGCAGCTCCTGTCTCTGCCATGCTTGGGGACACAGCAGGTCCCTGGGGGACACCACGGTCTGACCAGCAGAGCCTTTAACGGGCCACCAGGGCTTTGGTCATGCTGGGAGCTCAGCCCAAAAGACCCATTTCTTGGTGATCCCCAGGGAAAAGCAGGAGCTGAGGCAGCTGCTCGCCTGGAGAGCCCGGGCGAGCCGGCACGATGGCACGCGGAAGCAATGCACAGCCCCAAGTCACCCTTAACCTCCAGTTTTGGGATCCCCTGATGTTGAAGTTAGGGATGTAGGGTGCGTGCACCCCTGGGACACCCACGTCCTTGGGGAAAAGGCATCTCACGGGGGTTTGGTTGCCCACAAAGGAGCAGGTCCAAGAGGAGAGGTGCTTTGGTGGCAGGCGGGAGCGGAAAACTCACCGCCCGCCTCCACCAAGGACCCGTCGAGCCGCTTTCGCAAGGAGCCAAAACCAGAAGACGTGGGCGGAGAGGAGCCGGCGCTCGGCTGGATTCGGCCAGGGGATGGCTCGCACGGAGAGCTGGGCAGGGAGGGTAAAATTAGGCTGTGGTGTCAGAAATAGTCTAATTGCAAAGCTGCCGGGATGGCACCGGAGCTGCCGGGTGTGTCCCGGGATGGGCAAGGGGGCAACACCACCCAAGTGTCGCCTTTGCTGGGGAGGCCCATCCTCGTGGTCCTCAAGGTGCCATCCTTGGGATGGATGAGACCCTCCAGGAGGGTCAGACCAAGGGACAGGGCTGTGCCAAGAGGGACCACGCACCCAAACACCCCACCCAGGGCTGCAGCAGCACCCGTGGGACACTCTGTGGGGTGCCCTCAGCAGAGCGGGGATGGCGGCACCCACCAGGTGGACCACCTCATCCAGTGACTACGTGTGGGACAGTGAAAAACCAGGAAAAAACGTGACCGGTGGGACAGGACCTCCCGTGGGCTCCCTGCCACGAGGATGCAGGCAGGGCGGGGGGATGCCAGGGATGTCCCCATGAAGGTGGCTCTGCCACCGAGCCCCGTGGTCCCTTCCTCACAAGCAGGGCTGGGCAGGGTGGCAGGATGTGGCACGGTTCGGGTACAAACTGGGTGGTGGCCGCGTCCCACCGCGGCCCCGGGTGGGCACGTGGTGCCGGGTGGGGGGAGGAAGTGGCTCCGTTGTGGTCCCCGTCATCAGCCGGCGGAGCGAAGGAACCGGTTCTCGTTTCCTGCCGGGGAGGGGGGGACCGGTGCTGCCGGAGGTGTGGGGCAGGACGGGAGGGGGCAGAGGAAGGGCTTGGTCCTCCTCCTCGTTTGGGGACAAGGATGGAGGGGCCACGGAGACTTGCCCCAGCAGCCACATCTCACCTGCCGCCATCCAGCACCCAGCACCCTCATCCCACCCTGGCGTGGGGCTTCCCCATCCTCCCAGCAGCGTCACAGCATTACTGAACAGATGCCACCAAATGTCCCCCACCAACCCTCCTGGGACACGAGGTGCCACGGAGCCCATGGTGCCATCCCACCCGTGCCTGGCACCAGGATGCAGCCAGCTGGGATCCCCCCCATCTCAGCCAACACCGGCCGCAGCGTGGAGCTGAGCTTCACCCTACAGCTAAAACTAAGACTGGGAGGAGGCAAAGCAGCACCTACATCATTTTCCGGTATGAAAAGACCTTTTGATGTCGCAGCACCCGCAGCGCTGGGGCCGCCGATGAGAGGGGACGGAGCTATTTTGGGTGTCAGCCACCTTCTTTTTGTTCCGCACGCGAACAGACAGAGCCGAGCAGAGCCGCGCTCTGCACCAAACCCCAGCGCAAAAAAAAAAAAAAAAAAAAAATAAAATTACCTCTGCAAAAAAACGCCAACGGGCTCAAGTGAAAACCAGGCTGCACCCAGGGAGCGTCGTTTCTGGGGCATGTGGGGGATGCGCATCCACGGAGCGGGGATGGAAAGCCTCGATGGCATGTGGCATGGGGAGAGCATCCCAGCCCGGACATCGGGTACTGACCCTGCCCACCGCAGGGAAGGGGCTGGAGAAGCCCTGAGATGGCGGTTTAGGGGCTTCCACCAACTGGTTGGTCACGGGAAGGATTAACGTCACTGGGTGCACAGGCTGGTGGCCGATGGACCACGCCAATCCCGGGATGCTCCATCCCTCATGGCCACGGAGCACGATGCTCCCACCCGAGGGGGTTCAGGGCATACCCAGCCCTGCAGTACCAGCACCCCCGTGGTGTCCCTTCCAGCGACCCCAACTGCCACCGGATCCATCCTCCCGCCTCTCCTCAAGGCCCAGCGCCCGGCACTCAGCAGGATCAGGCCCACCTGGGGCTCTCCTAACCAGCTGGGCGATGCTCCCAGGACCAGCTCATCCCATCCAGGTCCCAACCCCACCACCTGCCAGGCAGAGACAGGCGGTGGAGGAGCAGACGGGTCCCCGCCGATGGCCGGAGCCTGCCGCGAGGGTGGCGAGGAGCAGGCTAAGGGATGGGTGACCGCTACTGCCTGCTGCTCCCGGCTCTGCTTTCGGAACATGCAGAAGCTGCTCTGGGCACAGGTCAGGGAGAGGAGCCGGATCCAGCCACCGCGCCCCCATCCCCACCAGCTGCCTGTCCACCCTGCGCCCACTGCCACCC